TAGGTTTTATACGAATTTAAAATATGAACTCCCAGCGCCAACTTAATTCCGGTGTGTCGAGGGCCTCTACAAGTTGGTCTGTTTTCATCGTCGGTCGGTAAAATTGGGACTGCCCAGAATTCTCCGTATCGCTCGTCGATACGTCAGTAGCCTGTCTGATTTTTCGTTCTCTCACCTTTCGTCAGCCTCGTGACCATACGTGTGCGGATAAACGTACGTGTGTCTTTCTCTGTGTAAAATCAGCTGATTCTGGCTGCCTCTCAGTTTTAGATGCAAATAGAAGAAAGTATGGTCCGGGACGACTATCCGACACCGGAGGAAATAAAAAGGGATGGGGCGGACGTGGAGGAGGCGGAGCATGCGGAGGAAATTAATGACGACGACGCCGAGGAGATGAACGATGCCGTGGACGAGGAACACGTTCTCGAGTACCTCGGGGACGATTCCGGAGCTGATGTGTATGTCGGTACGTCGGCGTATTCCTCGTTAGGTCTCTTGAAGTGCGTCTCGAGGATTGCAATTTACTTTCACGCTCGCTGCAAAGAGCGATGGTGTGTTTTATCGTACATTGTTGATGTGCACAAATAAATGTTGGGAAGGAGCACTTGAATACTTTGCGTCAAATTTTCTGTCAATGATTGATACTATTACGGCCCGATTTCATAAACTATAATCTTAAGTCTTAATTTTTTCTTTGTGTCTCTCGAAGGGGACAGAGACGAAGGATGAATTAAGCTAAGGTCAAAGTTAAGTGACACTGGTGAAACCAGGCCTACGCGATGCCTTTTAAGTCGAGAGAGAAGAGATATGTATTATAGTTGTACCTCGCTTAACATCAGGTATACATTCTGCAAAGTCGGTGCTTTAACTGAATCAACATTAAACGATGTACCTTTTTACGTGGAAAGAGCCGGGTTAGATACCAGGGATACAAATTGTAAATCTATAAATTCCACTCCCACGTATTACTCGAGAGAAAGCCAAATTCGTTAAGGCCTGCGTCCACGATGCTAGAACTTGGTCCAAGTTCTAGTTTCAAGAAATGTGTAGTCGATCAACTTGCAGCTATTCCATACAAGCTGCAAGTTTTTGGACCAAGTTCCAGTATCATGGACACGGGCCTTTAAAGCGGGATGTGGTTGTACAATAAGTTTGTTGCGTGCAGGTATGAAAGCACTGGAGGATGAGTTGGATCATCTGCAAACTGCTCTGGACCATTTGGAGAGGAAGAACGACGATATACATGCGCAGCTGACGGAACTGCTGCAATCTAATCGTGAAGCTAGGAAACAATTTCGGGAATCTCTGCAAATCGACCGCCAGCAGTCAAAGTGATGATCACTTTGTATTTAGAAAATTGTACAATTCATTAATTTGTCATCCAAAGATATGCGAATATTATTACCTTTGATTTTGTGAACGTTTTGTTTGTAAACGAATTGTTTCATGTAATATGAAAGACATTTGATAGTCTACCCTAATCTATCGATCAATTCATATTGATCAGTGATTGACCATAAAAACTTCGATAGCATTCCTGATAACAAGATGAATAAAATGGCATTAATTATGTACATATTATATTACAATACACGCATAGTTGTTGAGAGTTAGTTGGGTAAAGCAAAAACTACACCTTTAAAAATGAAAATAAAATGTATTGGGAGAAAAATATATTTCTATGAATAAAATGATTAGAAAATGTAACGAAGACGTATAACACGGTCACGCTCATAACTTGAGAATTATTCTGCTACAGTTCGCATAATGTGCTGTAACGACAGGGGAATTGCCAAAGAAACGACAAATGCAATATGAACAGTTATGTAAATTTTATTTGTACATAAACAAATAGATTTAATATAACTGTGGATGGTAGTAAAAGTATTTTTAATCTGTTAATTTCAGTTATCCTGTATTGAATAATAAAGAACTGCTATTAATGTGTTAGGTGTACAAATCAGTAAACTAATACAGATAACACAGTTTTATGGATCTATATGCAAAAATTTCCTGTTACAACATTAATAGCTGAAGTAGTTTTGATGTGCATATTTCGATAATCTCGCTGCCCTCTGATTGATCCCTAGCTAAATTCAAACAATATCCTTATACTTTATTACAATATGTACACATATTAAGTGCAATTGACAATGATTTGTTACCATCAAGCGCGACAAGCGATTTGTAGTTTTCAGTTTCTTAGCTTGCATATTCCATTAATTTTTGAAAGTTTTACAATGTGTGATATCTTAAACACAGTGCCATATCACAACTACATAACATATACATTCGGTCAAAAGGAAATACTTTGCACAGCAAACAACTTCTGCACATCAATTATTTAAGTATACTAAATAAACAAGTTATTCGCACATTGAGGGGTCATTATGTTAAACATTTGTTGGAAATGATCTATATCCTTTTAAAATATTATCTTGAGATTTCGAAACCTTTATCGGTAAAAAATAGCTAACTTAATTGTACAACACATTTATGGAATGATGTAACATATTTTACATTGATTGCAAAAGAATATGTCTGAAATTTACTTTTGTGGTAAATATAAAATTTCTTAAATCGATCTGTCTCTAAATCAAAACGAGATATAGTGAGAATGTCATAGTTAAATTTTTAATGCGCACTTATATAGTTTGAGTCATTTATTGCAAATGCACTGATAAATGTAAATGTTAGTAATGATCATACATTACGAATATACGCAATCAATCGATTAATTTATCCTATACAGCGTTTGAGGGACTAAGCAAGTTGATATAATATTCTTATTAGATAGATGGATACATTTTTGTACAAAGAAACGTAACATTACAAGATTAACTTATTAGTAAAGGTCCAAGAATAAGATTTCAGTGTTTAAATCAATTATATAACTATTCCTTAATTTGGTGTCGAAACAATGACCAGAATAATCTTTGTTCTTATAAGTAATGTTCTTATATTAGCTGCCAGCAGTATATTATTATGTTATATACATATATAATATATATTCCGTACATATACAGTATAAATCTCCAAAAGAGGTTTTTAGGGAACTTTACGTCTCAAAAATGTCCTAAAGTCATTCTCCTGGAATTTATAATGTATGGAATATAATTATATATAAATATATCTCATATACTTATTACTACTATATATTATATTATATTTTTCATATTATACATATATTAGAATAAACTGTAAACAAAATAAAAATATTTGAAGTTTTCGTATTGCATCTAAAACACATCAAAATTTTAACCGAAGAATATGTAAGAATTGATATTTTTGAATGTGAATTTCAATATAAACATTTTGAAATAACTTGCATTTTTCGGAGAATTAAAGCGTAATTGTTTTTATTGCAACTCTATTGCAATAATTTTTATTGCATAAAACACTGAAACCTTAACCTTGCACTATCACTGTTTATGTTTTTATAAATAAAGACAACTTGCCTTTTACACACATGTTAATCAATCTAACGGAATCATGTTCTCTGTATAGGATACAGAAAGATATGCGTTGTTACATTCATTCGTTTTTACAAAGTTTACATCTTTTTCAAAAAAGGAAATTCTTTACAAATGATTCATATACGAAATACATACGAAATGAGAACAAAAACTTTTCTATCAGAATATTATATACAAAGTAAGAACAGAAGATTTCAAAATGTCATATTTGTTAATGTGCAAAATTTTAGATAACTTAGCATTTTATTATCTAATTCTATAGTAATATTAAGATTGTTCCAGTATATTTTTATCTGTTTATTATGTATTTCATTTCGCAATCTACATAACTTCAATTGTGTGGTCGCATTGAGATAATGTTCTTACTTTGAGCCTGATAGTAGTAAATGCTGGAGAGGTTGTAACAGTGCACTTTATATCTTCTTTTTCATATTATCATAAATTTTTCTTTTTTTCAGCTTTTTCAATTTTTTTAAACTATGGTTTGTCCAAAATGGTTTGCGGCATAAAACTAAAAAACAAAGTGTGTTCAAGTTATACCATAATAAAAATGTATATAAGAAAAGAACATTATGCATACAAAGGAAATTATATGAGTGTTTTACATATTATTTTTTACTTTGATTTAATTTCTCAAAGCTTATCAAGTTTTCTGTGTGAACAAAACAACATATGTATAATGATATAAAATGTTAGGGGAAGTCTAATGCTACTTGTATAAAGATCCGATACGGAATAATTTAAACAAATTCTGTGATAAAAACTGTAAAATGATTAGTCATTCTTATTTCGAGAATTATATCAAGATAAGGTGCATTGATAACAACAGCAAAATATATAAGAATGTACTTCTTATATATTATAATATTCTTTCTTTCATCTTATCTTTCTATTGTACGCATACACATGTAAAGTATTTATCTGTAACATATTGTAAAACCTGATTTCTTATACAGTTATCTGAATTTCTCTGAAGTTTTTATAAACCATGATTTATTTGTAATATGAATTATAACACCATAACATATGCTGTTGATAAAAACACTTTGTTTATATGCATTAATGTTGGAAACTTCTAATTACTTAAACTTCTTGAAACTGTTATATTTGAATTAAATAATTATTACAACCGGCTTGTTATAAAAGTTTGTAAAATGTTATGTTATATAATGCATAAAGTAAAATATAATTGAAACTTGCAACATTTACAGTTTTGATTTTATTATAGTAAAATATGTATAAACGACTGTATTAGAATATTTATGGTTATATTATAGTTGCATGACTTGTGTAATTATAAACAGGTTTGTGATTACTAATCCATATCAATAGAACATACAAGGAAAATAATCTAACATTTGTTATTACATGTCAATTTGGAGTTAATCATTTTCATCAGATCTTCTTGTTTAGAGCAAATCTTACAGTGAACGTACGTCCATAAAGACACTTAATATCATTATACACAGAATCTTAGTGATGACGGAATATATCGAGATTTTTATTCTTTTTAGTTTGAGTAATTCTGCTGATTAAAGATTAGCTTGTGAGAATATCGCTTGTTTATCCGTTCTAAAGAATTGGATGTAACAGCGACCTGTAAAAGAATCTATTTGTATGCGAATATCTTTTCGTGAAAATATTTTTTCATAATTTGACTAATTTTTTTAAAATTTGAGACGATTTTAATTATATAACTAATTATACTAATTATACAACTAATTATAGTAAATATTGAATGATAACATAATATTGAACCTATATGGTTAAACTTCGAAAAAACAAAGATAGAAAAATAATTCGGAAACTACATTAAAAATAAGATAAAAACTCTTACCGTAATTAATATATGATTATGCATTTCTACTATTTTGTGCTAAATCATTAAGAAGCTTTCGTATCCTCTATATTATAGAAGGAATCTGGAGCGTATAAGCTGCTCATCTGTACATCTGGATCTGGTAATGATGATGCATTTTCCGACAATATATTTCCCAAGTCGTCAAAATCTAGTAGATTGGTTGAAGAATTATATGCCATAAGTTCACCGCCAGTAGCTTCAGTGGAAAAATCTGCAGCTGTATAAAATAAAAATTATTCATTATTTCTTACTTTATTTCATTCATTTTATATAATTAAAGCGTTAGTTTCATAAGAACATTATGAAATGAAATAAATAAAAGAGAAACATATTTTTCTTACATACGCGCACACACAGAGAATTAAATATTTAGAAACACACCAAAAATATAATAAAAACACGCGCGCATATATTTTATATAAATTTAGAATATAATATTTAGACACTACCATCCTGTCACGGCTCTGAGTCCTTTAAATTCTTTGAAATTTGTGTTTAACACATACAAGCCTGACTATTTTATATAATTTCTTTAAAATATTTTGTTATGCAACCTTTTTCTCTCAACAATTTTTGTAAAAAAATTTATTAAAATACAAAAGCTTAGACATGATAATCTCTTTAGGTTGCCAGTAATAAATAACAATGGATTAGTTAAGGTCGACTAAAAAAAAGTTTAGGCTCTGGGCAATAAAAATGACAAAAACTTACTTGTATCACTTTCCTCGTCTTTCATATTATGTGGATTCAATTCGGGATTCATTGGTAATGCAAACGTCATCGGATCTTCTGAAGTGAACAACTGTGAAGAGAAAAAATATTAATATTAAAATTTTAAATAAATGCACTATGAGAACTCTTTAATTAATCTCGTAAAAAAATTTTCTTTCTTTTTTCGATATATAAAAAATGTTTTAACATTACATTTACCTCAAATAAAGTGTTAGCATCAAGGCTGCAATTTTCATTATATAATTTTTCACGCAAAGTATCCAAACTATTCTGCACCGTTTCCAAATGATGATCTATTTCTTCCCTGTACATAAATTATTAATTAAAATTTGAATATTATACTTATATATTACTTTAATAAAAAGCGTTAGGCAAAAAGCATTAGTAAAACTTGTTGTCATAACACCTGAAAAATAATTACATACAACTCATAACATAATTTTCATAAGATTTACGAAAAAAAAAAGAGAAATGTGATATTCTTTATATTTTATCGTGTCATAAATACTGTGGATAATGAGTACTGTATACACCATAAATTTGATAAAATTGCTTTAAAAATAAAAATAATCTAATAATTAGAATAATAAAGATATTATATAATAGAAAAAATATGTATAAACTGATTTATACTATAAAAAAAGTTTTTATGTCATGTTAAATATAAAAAATAATACCCCTTTTTTAATTGTTAATTTCCACTATGAAATTAAGTGGAAATTATTGTTAAATATGTTATGATTGCATTATGATATGCATGGTCAGACTTACTTCTCTTCTACCCCCTGCGTAATTGGCGTAATTGGCCTATTCTCTAACCTGTAATTAGGATTAGTTGTCCCAGAGGAATTGACACGGCTCACCAATAAATCGTTTGATGAACTCGGGCGTGTGTTATTATAATCGATCTCTTTTTCTGACGCTTTTGCCCTTGTATTTTGATTGAGTTGTTTATTGCTCCCTAAAACGCTTCTTTCACCATCTGTTTGATTAAGTCTCTCATTCATGTGATTGCTGTTACCGTCTTCTTCATTATTGAAATGATTGTGAATATTTATATCGAACATATCCGGGATAATTAAGATTTCTCGTAGCTTTTCTATCGGTGTATCATTGTATGAAACGTCATTGTATGAATCGTCATATTCAAATGGAGTATCCGTATCAATATCTTTGTTAACATCCTGAGAACTAATGTTTGCTGCCATTGCTTTGAGTTTAGAGCTACGTGCAGCCGCCATAGGTATTGGTTTAGAATTGATGGATTCAGTGTTCAGTACAGGAGCAGGTTTGTCTTCGTCGATAGATACTTCAAACATATGCAATTCCTCTCTATAAACAAATGTAAGTTAATATAAATTGATTAAAACCATGATTTTTAATTTTAAATATTAATTCTTAAATCTTATTTATTTATACAAATTATGAAATATTTAAACATATATCAATAGAATAAGCAAAAGAAAGAGGTAAGAAATTCATGTGATCTATTAACAGCCAATAACAGGATATTGTAGTAGTACAATAGCAATTAAATAAAGATAATGGCTATGTATCAATATTATGCAGAAATTTAATATATAAATACAAAAATGTTTTTCTAATAACAAAGGAATATCATGTTTCTCTTTCTCTCTCTATTTACCTTACTTTCTTATTCCAATACTTAAAGAATAATATTTTCTATAGACACATAAATCTGCTCTGTCCAATAATAATTGGAGAAATTGATATACTTTCTGCAGAAATTATCGGTAAAATTATAAAAATGTATTTCCACTCACATAAACTTTTTCCATAGTTTTAAAACTGCGTTTCATTTTATAAGATAATATTAAAGAAATTTTAACGTTCTTCTCTTATCATATAAAAAATAAGTTACAATTCTAATTAATTCTACAGTGCAACCACAAAAATCTGACCCATGCAAAAAAATAACATATTTACAGAGACTCTAGTATAACAAAATAGTTTCAGATAAATCTTAGAACATCAACACCAAATGACAACAAGACAATTAAGTTAACCTTGACTTTTTTCCGTTTTCCAATGATGGAATCAATATTCTGACAGGCACCATGTTTTTCCTCCTAGTAATATTTAAGTTTGTATGAATATATAATGTAAGGAGGTTTTAACATTTAACCGATATTACTAAACCCTACTCAATCCTAATGTAACTAGTCATTAAGTGAACATGTTGGTTCAAACAAATTTTAGTAATTTAAACTTTTCAGAATATTTGTATAATCCGAATTTGATAGATAGAGTTAATGTTTGTTATATTGTATATTCCTCTTGAAACTAATTTATATGTATATACATACTAAAAATATATAAATATAATACAAAATATATTAATCAAACTTACTTTTTGTCTTTGTTAACACGTTTCGTCGTTGTTCCAATCTCAGGATTGTGAAGGGGGGACTCTTTATTTAATTGAACAGAAGTTGCCATATTTTGTTCATCTACCAATCTTTCATTATGTTCCCGAGGACTTTGAACAGGTGGACTTTGAACAGTTGGATTTTCATTTTCTAGCATCCTAGAATAATTATTAAGATATTAATACCAATATAATTCATATATTATACAGAAACACAAAAACTGCAAAATTTGAATTTTTTAATCTTTGAAATAAATAGTATATGTGAAATTTTATCACTTACTCAGCAACAATATTATCTGAATAGAGATCGGAATCTGATGTCTCAAGTTCATGAATTACTGGTCCCATAGTACATTCTTGGGGCTGTAAAATAAATATTTTTTTATTACAGAAATTCATGTAAAAATTAATCTAAATGATGCAGCACATTACCTCGGACGATTTGCTTCGTTTATTTGGAATCGAGTCATCTATCATTAGTGGATATCTCCTTTTAACAGATAGACCACTTCTAGATGATTGTACAAGAGAGACAAGAAATGTAAATAATTTGTTAATAATCTGTTGCTGTTTTATATGTTTGTGTCTCAATATTGCCAATTCTCTCCACAATGTTGAATTTTCGCGCTTTACTTCATTTAATGTATTATCCATATTTTCTTGACGATCCCTCATTTTTTTTACGTCTTGTAACATCTTGTCTAATATATCTGGTTTAATACCATCTTTAGCTGGGGCCTAACAAATAATAGATAAAATTCCATTTAATAATTATAATAAAATATAATTACTTATCATTATGTAATAAAATATTAACGCAATGTTTAATCTTTACAATGTAAATTTGCATTTAAACTTTCAGCTTCTCAATTTTTATTAGAAAGAGATTATCTTGAGGTAATACTTCCTTTTACGTTCTCATTGCATCGTATTATACAAAAAAGTATTAAAAAAGGAAAAACATTGAATTTGTATAACAATTATACAGAGTACATTTTATTTCGTGTTCCAGTCTTTTACTATAAGGGATGGATTACCAACTGCAACTTAGAGACTCTCTGATCAGAAGGTCTGTACTGCAACCATGATCTACTGAACTGATACATTGATGGCATCTGCTTGGAACAACATTGTACAGGCAAGTCAAAATTTTAACTTTCCATTTTTCATGGTAAAAAACTAGGACATAAAATAAAATCTATCCTGTATACTATGTTTCCCATTATATCACATTATATAGAGTGGGAATACTGGCAAGAAAGTAATTTCCGGCTTAAAATAAGTCAAAATAATAATTTTTTTCCATTAAGTTTTAAGAAAATGAAGACTTTGAGGCTTAATCATTAAAGTGCGGATATAAATGCACTTGTTTGACACTTAACGTAATAAAAAAGTGAACTATTGTATTATGAAATATAAATGTAGAAAATCTTTTACACTGCATATGTGTCTTCGAAATCGTTTTGAATTATTTAAATCTTCAGTCTTTAGGTCTTCGGAAAACAATAAAATTAGAATAAAAAATTATAATACATAAAACATATCTTAATATACTCACTTTTCTCTTAATTTTCCCCACTAATTCAGGATGATCTTTGACAAAGAACTCATGCTCAAACTCTAATATCTCGGATTCATATTTTTGCCCATTTGCGAAAGTTAACTTCTTGTGGAAGCCATCTAACAAATAAAGAATATTAGTGGTTTTCGTGGTATTTCGCTGTATTGTCTGTACATATTTATATATATAAAAAAAAGCGTAGAAACTTACACATGTTCAACTGTCGTACGAAACTCGCCATATTACTATGTTTGAAATAATGCGGTAACGTATCTATTGTAAACTTTTCACTATTTTTAACGAAGAAACTTTTTCCGTCCTGAAAAGAATATTATATACACAATTATTATGCTTAACATAAATATAAATATACAGGGTGTCCTGAAATTCGTGAATCAAAATACCATAGCAAGAAAGTCGTCGAAAAAATGAATTAAAAAGTTATTTGGCATTTTTCGTTCCGAGCAGTAGTTTTTTTATATAAAATGGAAGAGAAGAGTGCTTCGAAGCATTCGCAGCATCAAATGGATCGCAGCCAATAGTCTGAATCTACTTAATAATACTTAAAAGTGTATTGAATTTTTTTCTCCATGAGTGAGGAAAAGTTAGAGATTAGCAGTGTCCTCTCGACGAAGGTACCGCCGAAATAATGAAGCGACGATTGACAGATGCGAGAGTTAACTAGTCGCGCATAGTATAAGGCAAAAAGCGAAATTGAAGCGAGGCGACAATCCGTCCCGGATTTGTTCCAAGCGTGGTAACTCGTGTACTCTAGATGGTCAATTTTGAAACCGAGAATTCCGGTCACCCAACCAGAAGAAAACCGTCGCGCCGATGGAGTCGGCGTCAGCGATGCGTGTTCGTCGATGCAATTGTTGTCGGTGCAATGATCGGCGCGATGGTATTCCGAACGATTGTTGACGACATTACGGTAGACGCGGTTATTGTCGCCTCGTGGAAGCCGCGACGCCACTCGAGCTACGTTATCACGTGCGACTCCACGCGAGGTAATTCGGCTTCGACCGTCGTGAATATGGACAATAAATAAGAAGGAGAGAGTATAAATACAAATGTACTCACGGATGCCCAATAAATAAGCTCGTTGGTTGACTGATCGTTGACCAGGAACCATAGCTTGGAAAGGAACGCTGCTACACCTGGAGACAGTTTATTCGTCAAGCAGTCGGAGTCCCGCATCCTGGTCGATTTGTAAAAGAAAACTACGTGCAAACGGCAAAGTGCTCAGCGAGTCCTAGCGTCTTCCAAGTTTCGCAGTCACAATCACAACAGCAATGGCTGGTCACTGACGATGTATTCTGCTACTGCACTCGCTGGGTAGGGGGGGTGCAGAGGAGGGACATGTTCTCATTGGCTGTCGAACAGCTGGTGGCGTCACGACAGCCAATCGTCGCTTGCGACGCGAAATGATCGCGAAATGATCGCTTGCCGAACACAGTCAAACACCTAGTTCCGAAATCCCCTCTTGTTGAGCCGGGAGCCAATAAATTAGAAGAAGATCCCCTCTTGTCGCATGCACACGAGAGAGAACAAAATAGCACGAAACCATAGAATACTCATGGAAGGGAAAAATAGCTTCAAAGGGAAATAGCATATACTTTCTGTGAGCTGAAACTGAAAGTCGAACATATATGTGACAAGGATAGATAGAAGATTACTTTGGTCCGTTACCCCTGGTCCACAATCTTGCTTTAATTAAGCTGTAAGCTTCAAGCCGTAAGAAATCAACCAATCACAGATGAGAATGAGAGGAATAAATGCCTGTGATTGGTTAATTTCTTACGGCTTGAAG